CCAGGTGAACACAGAACACACCCCCAGGTGAACACACCCCCAGGTGAACACACCCCCAGGTGAACACGCCTCCAGGTGAACATACCTTCCAGGTGAAGCCACATCAACCGTCCCTTCACGCTGACAACAGAGGCCACACAGAGTTCTCCTGGATTCCGGGGGTTCACAGCTTCGAGTTTCATGTTCTTTGTGAAACCTCGACTAAAGGACATCTGGAAGAGAAGCAGAGCTGGGGCTGAGCAGAAACAGCAGTGCCCACCCTGCACACAGATCTTATCTACATCATTTCCTCTCCCAACATTCAGGAAGAACCAGAATTCTTCATCTTCGTAGTCCAGAAATTACAAGTGTGCTTGACACACAGCAGGTGCGACTAGTAAAGCTGGTTAAGTGGGTGACAGAATGGACATATTCCAGGTCCATATGCATTATTTCTGTGGGATCACTGAAATACACACCATTTCCTCTACTTTCCTATATTCCTTGATAAAAATCATACCTGCTGGTCCAAGGACCACATGTGGAGAATTAGCCCTTGAGATAATTGAGTTTAGTTACAACAGGGACTTTAAAATACTTGTCTGTTAATTCCAACATATCAGTCACGTTGACTCTAGGTTGATATGACTCATATTTACTCTATTTTAATAATCTTCTCTGTTAAGAATGAGTCTTATTTTCCAATTTCTTCATGTCCTGAGAAACACCAGGTTGAAACGTGAATATTTTAAATATTAATGTTGTGGAGACTCTGGATTATGTTATATTCCTATAACAAATGTCTATTTTTCTGCTTAAGTAAGCAGTTAACTTGGTTGGATTTGAACTGTAAACCCTCTCTTGAGAAGTAGCTCAAATCTCAGCTGAGTTCTTTTATCTGTATCTAGGCTGTCTGGCGTCTGCCTGGCATGCCCGAGACTCAGAGATGAGCCAAAGATCTAGGCAGAATGTACACATGGAATCTGTGGCTCTCTCCCATCTGAATGTCCCCTCACCTGCAGGGGGAGGAGTATTCTGTAATCTGGTTCATCAGGCCAGAAATACTGTGAATTTCAACTCACTCTAAAAGCCTGAATTAATGGGACAATCGCCTCATACTGTCCTCTTTTTTGCATCTACCTGCTTCTCTCCAGAACATACCCACTTTTGTTCATTCTCCACTACCCTTATGTAGTTTTTGCTGCCATGTCCTAAAGGGTCAAGCCAGTTCGAGCTTAGCCAATACTGAAAACAAAGCTCCTTTCTGACATGACTCTTAAATGAATATGAAATTTTCCAGGATCACCAACTACTATAAGTGATAATCAGACGTATTACAACACCGTGAACACATATCTATTTTGAGATTTACATCCCAAGACAAACAAGTCTATAAGGAACAGAGATTATGCACTTATGAGACTCATGTAAGGAAATCAAGGCAATTCACACTTACATTCCTTTTTATAAAACTTAAATTGAAAAACACAATTCTATCTTCACATAACCAGAAGAACGTTATCCAATGCATGTTGAGAAATCATCTGGCTCCTTTTCTTGATGTGTCTTTGGAAATAGAAACCAAAGGTATTCCAGGTGGGAACTGTTACACTGAACATCCTCCCACCTCACCCACAGTGCGTGGGCATTGAGCTTCTTTCTGATAATTTAACTCGATAAGCTGCTTGACAAAGCTCTAAGTAAGTTGAAATGCATTTTATTCCACCTAATAAGGGAAAGCTACAACCACATAACCTATTTTCATTTCAATCTACTGCTTGCAGGTAATTTATGAAGGATCAATAGCAAAGCCGTTACCTTACCTAGGAGTTTATTTTAGTAAGCGTTTGGCTGTGTCCATTCCTTTGCTAACAGCCTCTGATTGTTAAACATCCCTGGGGAAAGGTCTTCTATGAATCCAATTCTACTCTAGCCTTCCTCTGGTACACGCAAGATGTGTGATTAAAAAAATGAATTTGTAATAAGCCTTCCATTAAGGAACACTTGTAGGAAGCTAACAAATGCAGCGAAGTACCAAGAGTACGATAATGCACGTGCCAACGGGCAGCCAGCAATCCTGTCCATTAGCTGAGCATTTACCCAGAAACAAAGGCATGCCTAAGGAACACACCAGCAAATTCACTGAAAGGGATTCAATCTTGGTAGCTACGTCCCAGAGTGGAGAATGGGGCTTCCTGCTCCACAGTCAACAGCCACCTCAGCATCTCCTGCTGAACAGGAGAAGAGGACAGACGCGGAGCAGCTTTGGTGGAACTCTGCTGTCACAGAAGCAGCAACTCCCTAAGTCCGAGAAACATGGGGAGACACCAGGCTGGAGAGTTGGGGAAAGAATACTGTCTTGGCAGGCACAAAGCACAATCTCAGACGGGGCATTACAGAGTGTTTCTACCAGTCCTGAAGGCAAGGCACATAGGCTGGGAGATTGTATAGCAGTGCCATCCACACGCTGAGAAGTCAAGTCAGACGGCTCTGGACTTGGTAAGCCTCAGGAGCCAACCAGCTGCGGGCCGTGTGGGGCACCGGTTATACATCCCCACCTGAACTCTCACACCACGTGGTTCCTCCATGCCTCAGAGAAACTGTAATCGTGCAAAGGTAATGCCACCCAGTGGAAGGGTCGTTCAGTCACCTGCAGGGCCCAGATTTCTAACACAACCATGGCCTTGTTTCAGTACACAGAAACACAGGTGACCCGGTCATCAACCTGCTTAGCTGACGTATGCTCAGTTCTGAGCTTTCTCCTCGTAAGCCAACCCTTTCTCATCTCATTTGTCACACTCTGTTCTCTCTAGAGTACTAATTACTCGCAGGGTGACAAGGAATCAGCCCCTCTCTCAGAGCGTGTCTTCAGAGAACAAAGTCTCTGACTTGGGAGCGCTTTGTACTGCTGTGGCTACAGATCTCAATTAAAAGGAGACTATATTTTTTTCTCAGCATAAAGAATTAACTTTTATAATTATATTGAACACGTGAGGCTATGCATCTAAGCCTCATTCTTAAAAACAGAGATAATAATTCATATTTGTTTTAAGTTGACCCCCCCAAGGGACGTGACAAACTGTCAACATATGGAGGTGGTCAACATAAGGAACTAGGCCCACTGGACTGATGTGCACATCTGGTGCATGTCCAGCCTATGAAAATTAGGCCAACTTGAGCAGGTGGTCAGCGTGGGGGGCGGTCAGCTACGGAGGTTCTCCTGCATTTGTAATTTTATAAACTAGTCACACACAGCATAATGACTGCTGGGTCAAGGATGGGCTGCACACACAACAGTGGTCCCACGAGGTCACAACGGTTACACCTCACAGCCTGGGTAGAGGAGGCTACACCGTGGAGGCACCTTCTATGAGTTGGCACAAGGCAACTGCCGGAGGATGTGTTTCTTAACACACTCCCTCCTCAAGGGGCGCATGGCCAAGCTTTGTAAAACCACATCTGTGACAAGGCAAATACACACGTGTGTACACACACCGCAACATTCTTTGTTAGTTCACACGCCACAAAAATCCTATTCCTGTGCCAACTCGCTCTACTTGAACAGAATAGTTTAAAGTAAGCAAAGCACGAGGCCAACTAGCATCTCACTGGCGATCAAGGACAAAAATAGACCCCAGTGGCAAAGAGCCTGCTACCTGTGAGGTTTCCACAACACTGCACAGCAAACACGCACCTAATGGTGCCACAGGCAGCGCGGCGTCCAGTGAAGTTTGTCCTATTCCGTCCACCATACAGACGCAGAACTGGGAAACAGAAGCCCAGCCAGGACCCATTTCCTGGCCCAACGACTAGTTTGCACCAGCAGACAGTGGATAGAAGCGATACGGGTCACCGTCAGCCCAGTGGGTAGAGCTCTGTCTCTTCCCACTGCTGCTAGCCCCACACCGTCATAACGAGAGGCACTGACGACCAGGAGCCCCCACTCTTCTGATCATCCTTCTGCCAGACACTGGCCCATGTGCCACTGCAGCCCGGCACCAGCCCAACACACACACGATCTAAAGGGGCACCCCCCAACCACCAGAAGTGTTGTCATTCTCTGGGGCGCAGGGCTCCAACATTGCTCCACCAACAGGGAGTCACTTATAAAACTGGTGGCCAACCACATCTATGATTTTTTTAAGGTGGTTTTAAGAGAAGTGCCTTACGTTTCTGAAGCAGAAGGGAGGTGCTTCTTCCGCCCCATGCTGCTTGAGATAATCTGCCCAGTCGAAGTCCTGGCCGGAGTGACCTGTGAAGACAAAATACATAAAACTGCTTCAGTCCAGCTCAGCCCCAGACAAATGAACAAGGTTGGGTGGGGGGTGAGTTTAGGGCCCCAAAGGAGAACGCTCTCTTCAGCCCAAGGGCACTTCAGAGTCCCTGAAGTCACAGGAAATACTGTTTTGGAAAACATCAATCAGTACTAAGTGTAGGGGAGGGGGACATCCTTATCATAGGAGGCTACGCATCTATGCATCCTGAAGCCAGGGAGGAAGGGTGGGACTTCCTACAGGGGCACGTGCCAGTGGGGAGAAGATGGGGGGATCTGCCAAGGGGGCAGGGGGGCTGAGATGGGACAAGGCACAAAACACACCCTCCTGACTTTTCTGCAGAAATAGACAACGACCCCTCCTGCTACCTGCCTGATTGTCAGCTCTCAGTTCAAAGGAACTTAATCGTCGGTGTCTTGTGGAAATGAGACTTTATTGGGAGGAAGAAAACAGAAGATTTTCTTTTTTTTTTTTTTTTGAGACAAAGTCTCACTTAGTTGCCCTTGGTAGAGTGCTGTGGCTCACAGCTCATAGTAAACTCAAGCGATTCTCCTGTCTCAGCCTCCAGAGTAGCTGGGACTAGGCACCTGCCACAACGCCCGGCTATTTTTCAGAGACAAGATCTTACTCTTGCTCAGGCTGGTCTCAGACTCCTGAGCTCAAGTGGCCCACCCATCTCAGCCTCCCAGAGGGCTGGGATTACAGGCGTGAGCCATCATGTTCAGCCTGCAAGGGATGATGTTTAAAAACTGTAACAGAAGAGGGCAAACAAGGAGTAGGGTTTAGCAACAAAACACCTAAAGAAACAGAGGAAGAGGAGGATGCACACCCTGGCGCTGAGCTGCTGGGGAGGAAGGGAAAGGAGAACTGGGAGGACAGGCCAGGCCTCCGGTGTGACACCTGGGGCAGCATGGGTACACCGAGGGAGGTGCCGGAGAACAACTGCTCTTACACAGAGTCCACAAAAGGGGTCAGTCTGTCTTCATGGGGAGGGCGTGGGGGTGCAACTGTACCACATATAACCCTCATGATGACCACGGCAAGGAGGTGAGAGAGAAAGAGTCCTGGATGACGCCTACTGAAGGCCTAGAGAGGGAAACACCGAGCCTTGAGAGGATCAGCTGCACCAAACCAGACCACATGCTCATTACTGGCCGGCCATGGGAAAGGGAGAGAAATGCTCAAAAACATGGAATGGAAATGGAAAACAGGCGCCACTCCTGTCCTCACCTACTGTCCTTATTGGTTGAAATGTCTATAAAATAAACATACGAGGGATTTCTTAAGTCTGTTTTTGACCCACAATCTCCCAATTCCTCCCCCCACATCATCATAAATTCCACAACTGCAAATTCACTTGGCATGAGGCTTTCAGGACCTGCATCCGAAGAAACTCAAGATCTTAGCTGCCTCCTACTCCCACGTGTATTTCTCAAGCACAGGACAGGCATTGTTTTCATTAAGAAAACTTGATTTATGCAATTTGTTTAAAGATGGGAGGTGGGCAGCTAACCAAGTCAGCAGCTGTCCTTCCTGGTCCCAGAGGCTGATCTCTGACACTGCCTGGCCCTGATGGTCATCGGCTGCAGAGGTGTCCTGTCCCCTTTTTTCCTAAGACATCTGCTCAGTGGTTCTGCAACAAGGCGGTAAGAAGTTGCAGAGCTTTGAGACACCACAGAGACGGTTTCCACCTAGTTTCAAAGAGGCTCCCCAGCTCTTCCACCCACCCTCCCCGCACCCTCCAGGGCTGTCCCAGCAGCTAAAGGGCTCTGTGTCAGAGGTTTCTGGAAGGGACCAAACCAACTTTCTTCTGAACACTTTTAAACAAAACAAAACATGTGTTAAGATTAACACAGTATGAGTTTCTTTACTACTAATATAACTCTCCACTTTGAGCACAGTCTCTCTGGAACTGTCTGGATCAAATCCTTGCACTGCTGGCCTCAAGACAATTCAAAATATTGAGAGGTCTCCTCATAGTACAAAGGGAACGTCTGGGATTTACACCCAGCACTACCAGTAACTGGACAGACCACGAGAAAAGTAAGTTAAATCTCCAGTGCCTGACACTCCTCACCTACAAATGCACAAAATAAGAAGAGCTGTCAGGGTCCTCTGGCTGTCCCCTTCTGTGACTCAGAGTCACCACTCTCTAACTATTTGAGCACTGCTATTAAGGACTTGCTTCCTTCTCTCAGTGCTTGATTCCCTTAATTCTCTTCTCTCCTAAGAGAACAAAAGTGTGCTGAGGTGGGATGAAAGGAGAGAGGAGAGAGCTCCCAACTCAGCGCCCGGACACAGGGAGATCTCTGCAACACGGGGATGAGAGGAGAGAGCTCCCGACTCAGCGCCCGGACAGAGGGAGATCTCTGCAACATGGGGATGAAAGGAGAGAGGAGAGAGCTCCCGACTCAGCGCCCAGACACAGGAGGATCTCTGCAACACGGGGCTGAAAGGAGAGAGGAGAGAGCTCCCAACTCAGCGCCCGGACACAGGGAGATCTCTGCAACACGGGGATGAAAGGAGAGAGGGGAGAGCTCCCGACTCAGCGCCTGGACACAGGGAGATCTCTGCAACACGGGGATGAAAGGAGAGGAGAGAGCTCCTGACTCAGCGCCCGGACACAGGGAGATCTCTGCAACATGGGGATGAAAGGAGAGAGGAGAGAGCTCCCGACTCAGCGTCCGGACACAGGGAGATCTCTGCAACATGGGGCTCTGCAGACGGGCTTTGCTGAGTCGGGCTCTCCTCCTGTTTTGTTACCTCTTCCCAGGACTTCTGCTACTTCCTGAGTTACTTTTGTGAACTGAAGAAAGAGACAGGATAGGAACTCCCCCTCCCCAGATGAACCAAAGCATGTTCTGATAATGCATGTGCATGCGTGTTCTTTAAGTGCGGTATCTGCTCAGATGAGACTTTCCAAGATAGAAGTGACCCCAGATGTTGAGCTGGGTTTTCCATAACCACCCTCTAATGAACTTCAGTCCACACCCACGATATAAAATGCCACAATCCAGGTCTTCTAGAACCTGCATTCAAGCCTCCAATCTTCCCAGTCGTTTCTAATCTAACGACTTCTAGACAGAATCCAGTCTCAGCAGGTGGGTTCTAAGCCACGATGAGGGGTTCTGCCCCTACAAAGCGCTGTCTTCCTTGGACGTTGGAACAGCTTAGAGGACAACAACGCCTCCTCCTCCTCCGCTGCCTCCTCCTCTCAGGGACCTTTATTCACTTCATCACTTAAAATTCTTTCCCTTTGGGTTGATAATGAGCTCTCTTTATCAGGCAGTTTTGTGACAGCTCAGAAAATAACTGCTACATAAAAACAAATGGCTGTGGATTGTATAATAGAGACAACAGGGGTCAATTATACTCATTAATCAACAAAGACAGAACAAGAGGTGCTGAGGCTTAACTGCAGCCAGGAAAACATGTTTTAAACCTGGAGGGAGGGAGGGAAACAGCAGAGGAGAGGAGAAAATAAAAGGAAATAAAGGCCCTCAGGTTATTAAAATGTGCAACAAGGGGCCAAGGGAGACTGTTGAACCACAACCATTAGAGTTATTTAAGCTTTTATTAGTGACTCCTCTGAATGAAGCGCCAACCGCTACAGGTCCAGAAGGGAGGGCGGCTGACAACCCTTCTCCCTCTGGCAAAAATGAGCTGACACAAAACAGCTCTAACTGCACGCAGCATTACTGGTGGTGTGACAGTAAACGGACAGTTCTTGAGAAAAACTATTTGGCGATAAAAAATGCTCATACCCTCTGACACAACAATGTCACTTCTGGGAACTTATTGCATAAACACCACCCTAAAAACCAAAAAAGTTTATGGCATTATGATGGCTAATATGGGGATCAAACAGAAAAGACTCCCCACATGCCAGTTATAGGAAATGAGATGAGACTTGGCCAAGTTCACAGAAAGTCACACAGACATGAAATCACATGTAGTAAGTTAGCAGGAAAAGAAAAAGACTCCTGAAAAATAAAATAGCTATGACTTGAGATCAAAATATGGAGTTATTAGATTTATACAGAATATGCAAAGAAAAAGACCAGAGGAAATGTAAGAAGAACTTAGGCATAAAAGTCACATAATTATTTGGGTAAGCAGGACTCTTGGTGACTTGGTTCTCTGACTTCTTTGTATTCTCTAAGTTTTCAGTAATAATCACACAATTATTTCATTAACAAAAAATTGTTTGAAAACACAGCATCACTGTTCTATTTTAAATGATAATCAAGGCAGTGGTCACTCAGTGGAGACACAGGGACCACACCACACAGCTTGTGCAAGCCTTCCTCCAGCTTCTGCTTTGTCAATGGGGCTCTGAGCTTACCCAGTTCCTGGGGGAAGTGAATCCGTGAACCTCGACCTCCCTGACATGATCACAGTGGTTGCCTGCCCCTTGCCCTGTGGCTAGAGATGGGGGTAAGGGAAAGGTTTGGAAAAAATATTTCTTTCTCATAAAAAAGACAGGCCAGAATAAAAGTTCCTCTTCTATGCTATAGGTGGGGGGACAGGTACGATCTCAATCAAAAATAAAAATAGCAAAAGAGGATCATGTTGGCCATCCATGAGAATGGCAGAAGGAAAAGCAATGCTCACAACCCCCATGGTCAAGGTCAAGGCTGTCAGAGAGACATTGTGCATCCCCGGCCTGAGTATAACTTGAAATACCATTGCAGATGTCAATGTGGTAACGTGTCAAAGTCTTTAAGAACGTGCCTACATCCCAACCTGGCAGTTTGTTCATGTAAATGTTCACTCATTCAAAAAAACTGATCAAGTGGATGCTGGGTGTGAGAGGCCTGCCTGGCTCTGACACTTGGAAAGGATGTGAATGAAACTGGCCAGAACCCTTCCCTTCCCAGAGCTCGAATTTCAGGGAGAGGAGATGGATAGTGCAAAAAAGTAAAACGTCAGATGATGACTAGTGTCACAGAGACCGTGGGAGGGTGCACAGGGACAG